CAGGAGCTCACCCTGTTCACGCGAAGGCTGGACTCGAACCGCTGAAGCGTCGACCATTTCTGGCCGGCAACTTTCAGCATCAAGCCGCTGCGCCACCGCGTCCCCTAACCCTAACCCCCATGATTTACTGACTTTAAATTCTTCTCCCTCTTTATATCTATTCTGAAATTTCTTCTCTATAGATGAACACAGGAGTTAGAAAAAGAGGGACCTCAGTTAAGAATTTTTAATGTTATTTAAATACCGCCCTCACGTGCAGCTAGGAATTTTTCAAAATGCAATGCCTGAGGAAAAGCTCAAACAAATGGCTGTGACTTTGTTCTGGATCAGGAAACAAAACTGCACGGCGGGGGGGGGGGCAGTTTGGTCTAGTGGTTAAGGCACCAGGCTAGAAACTGGGAGACTAAGATTTAGTCCCGCGTTAGGCATGAAAGCCGGCTGGGTGACTTTGGGCCAGTCCCTTTTTCTCTGCCCAACTCACCTCACAGGGTCATTGTTGTGGAGGAAATAGGAGGAGGCAGGAGTATTAGGTATGTTCAACGCCTTGAGTTATTTGTAAAAATAATAATGGTGGGATAAAAAAAATATAACCCCCCCCACATCACCAATTATATTGTGAAGTGGCAAAAATGGGAACGTGGAGCATCCGGGTGGGGCAGAATAGAAACAATTCAAACCTCACATCCTCATTTAGAAATCTCCTAGAATCCTTGGTACGATTCTACTCTATTCATATAAGAAGGAATCTAATTTTTCAAGAAGATATACTAGTTCGGTCAGCAGATTGTACAAGAATAACTTATGGTTTTCAGTCTTTGCAACTCGCCTGGTTGCTTCAGCCGTGGAGAATGGCTACGCAGTAATTATAGTTGCTATTGTTTTATTAAAAAATACTGCACTGTTGTTCAACCTTCACGCTCTAACCGTAAAGTGTTACTATTAAATGCTCTATTGTGGAGCAGAGAATTTGTCTAAGGGTTGCTCTCGAGGGCATCACTCTCCATTTCACTTTGCAATGGGAAATAGTGAAATTAAAAGTAAGACTTACCTTTGATAATAATGGGATCTATCTAAAGGTCTTGCTGGGAGTATCTATGGACATGACTGCTCCCTTGAAATCAATACAAGTTGCAAGCCAGCAATGAATATGAGGCTGCATCCTGCTTGTTTCACGACAGGAAAAGGCGAGCTCACAAAAAGCTTTTTTATGTGTGCGCCTATATGAAAACCCTCCATGTATCCTGCACTGCCTTCAAAATCCAGAAATTACTTTGCTCGGTTTCCCTGTTCTGTGCAAGATGGAACATTGCTGTATTTTTTAATCCACGTCCCTTAAAGTTATGGGGTGATATTCTTATCTGGATGAGATATTACTTCAGTTCTCACATGCTTTTTTCCTCTATGTGAGGATCAGAACGGCATTCTCATTTGCAGGGTGACCAATGTAGACAAATTTGCTTTGACGTTCCTTCTCCAGGCACTGCAATTACTGTACTCAGTTCTTGTCACAAATCAGATCGCCCTCTACCCAATGTAAAACCAGGAGAAGCTGAAAAGGTCGAATCCCTGTGCGAGTCAGCCCCTTCAGGGAAGAATCAGCTTCACCTTTCTAAAGCACTTCCTCCTCCCACAGTTCTCCTCAGCAAGAAAGCCGGCCATATCAAGCCGAACCGCGGACGGAGGGCTTTTATAGCCTATTCGTCCTCCCGCCCCCGAGATAAATACGCGCCCTCTATTGGGAGGTCTGCCTGAGCGACGGCGCAGCTGCTCAACCAGCCGCTTCATGACGTAGCCCCTCGCGTTGTGGGGTCTGTTTAGTGTTTCCGTTACTCCCTCTCGCCTTTTCCCGCGCTTTTGGCGGCGTCGCCAGGTAGATCTCAATGCAGCTGAGGGGTCGCGGGAAGCCGCGTGCTCGCCTGCTGATCGCCGGGCAGATTCAACCCCTTTGACCTGGCAGGGCCTCTCGAGTAGAATTGCCTCGGTTTGCGTGACTTGTCAGCCACCTTGTACACAACCGACTCTTTACTGCCCTTCCTTGAAACGAAGCAGCTTAACCCGTCGCCATCTCGTAAGTAGGCAAGGAAGGCTATTGAATGGGCGTCCTCCTCTCACAGCCTTTCTTCCTCCACCCTCCAGATCTCTCGGGGGGTGGGAGGAAGGCCTGGCTTGTGGCTGCTTGCCCCATCCTAGCCTCGACCCTCTAGAAAGGCCTTGGGGCTGGTGTTTGGGTGTGCCAACGAAAAGTCGGCGTAGGTTTTGTCTTCCCCAGTCTGGTAGCCTCCGGATCTATTGGACTGCTACCATTTCTGTCGTCTCCACTCAGCTACTGTAGCGTCAGGCCTCTACTCTAAAGTAAAAACATGCTCCAGATTAAGCCCCCCCCCCTTTCACTACATCTTCCGTTAGGTTGCATTAAACCCCAGTGGATCTGTGGATCCATATCAAAGAGAGTCTATCCTATATAAATCTCAGTGTCATCCATAGAAACATAATGGCATCTTCTTGTGCAGATTTTAAAGAGGTTAAAACCCTAAAACGGTTCCCCCCACCCCATGGGTTCCTGTGACACTGATTTAAAATGTGAATTTTTACCTGCTATTTTAAATGTATGAAGGTTGTTATGTGTTATGGACCTTTAGTTGAAAGGCTGCTTGTTTTACATTATGATATTATGTTTGACAGTAATGCATTACTGTTTCAGATGTTATTTTATTCTGTGTACTATGTTTAGTTATAAACATATAACACTCTTTTACTAATACTATTCAGTTTTTATCTCTTTCCTCCCTTTATACATCCATTAAGGGGGAAAAACTGGAAGAGCTGTGCTGTGAATTTCAACTGGTAGAAGTAATGATGATAATGGTAATAATAAAAATAATGTATTTGTATGCTGCCTGACTCGCAACAACTCTGGGCGGCTCACAACAATCAAATAAGGAAATTGTAGTAAAAGTAATTTAGTAGTAGGGCCCATCTATCCCCAGTTAGTTGAACATAATTTTCATTGGAAAAAAATGGGCTTAAGTCATAACTAACTTGTCATGTTAATTTCAGTTCCGGTATTCCTCTAAGAGCTTTAGCCATTTAGCTTCTGAATTTGTACAATGCACTGAACTATATACCAGCTTTAGATCTTAAGCTTGCATAACACATCAGTCTAAAATATGACTTAGTAAGTTTGATTATCTTGAAGCCAGTGATAGTTTTCTTTCTTCCCTCCATCATCCATAATTTAAAATGAGCAATCATTGAAGTGATCACTTCATTTTTAATAAAATGTCAAGACAGCTGCCCTACATGTAACATCTGTTAATTGCTGTGTTAAGAAAATTAATGTAATTTTATATTTTATATGCATCAGATGTTTCTTTATTTTCATCTTTGTTGCCATTATCTATATCCCTACAAAAAAATCAAAGGAAAGTATTTTATGTGTAATACAAGCAATTAAATACGTATAAAATAAGATACATGACAGGCTAGAATAGAATAAAATTCTCAATTTATACAGGACAAAGAAATGATACTATATTGCTAATAATAGCAGTATTAAATAGCATGGAAGAATTAATAAATTGCTGAATGTATCCAAACATTTATTTATTTATTTATTTATTTATTTATCTATCAGATTGTATGCTGCCTTAATCACAGAGTGAATCTAGACTGTTTACAGAACAGGATTAAAACATCAAGGTAAAAACATGCCTTGACTATATAATCTTCAATACACTAATAATCACCATCATCACTATCTATAGTGAAAAATAAATTGAGTACATTACTTTTTAACAATAACAAAAAAATTACATCTAAGAATTTTTTGCCTTAAATTTTCCACCTGGTTTCTTCTTGAAGGAATTATATGCTTTTAAGTACCCAGAGTACTCAGTTGCAGTAATACATTTTAGGCTAGCATATCTTTCTAATCTGTCTGTTGGATTATGGTGAATGTGTTATGCAAATTCTGAAATTTGAATCAAGTATGGCTCACATAACTGGGTGAGCATATCTTGTGAACATAGCCTTTGTTGCATAACATATTTAAAGTGTACTAATTGCAGTATTACAGCCTACTTGTCCTTTTTGTCCTTTTGTACAATTCAGTTGTACAAAAACTTTAAATTTCTATTAGTGTGTTAGATTACTTATTTTATGTACACTTGTACAAATGTATTTTTCTGGAGTTTCATTGTTGTGATACACATGTTGAGGTCAGAAAATCTTGGTGAGCTGTTGTTCCAATTTGTCTGAGCCTGGGCTAATCTTATATTTGTGTAATGACCATCCTTCTCAAATATTGGGCTACACATGGACACTTAATATAGCTGTAATACTTTGTTATTTTTAATAAAACTGGTTGTAATGTGATTGAAAATATGTCACTCCATACATAGCCAATATGTTCCCATGGGAAGTCTTAAAATAACTATGGATTCATTTTTCAGGTATTCCTTCGTCCCTGAAGCTGCTTATTGAGAGAGTTAGCCACAGAAACAGAAGTTAAAATGACTTCCTTCAAATACCCAGAGTATCCAGAAGCAAAATTGCTTCAGTTGGAAAGCATGGTACCCTGTCGAGAAGCTCAAGTGTCCAGCTTGTTGTCAGTATTTGGAGAGGTAGTACCTTTTTATATATATCCTTTCTCTGATAAGATGCTGGGTCTTGTTTTTTGACTGAAGATTGCTTTGAAGCATCATGTTTCTTACTATAAAGAAAGGGTGATTTTTAAGGTGCACTTCAACTCCCCACAACTGGCAGTAGTATATGTATTGAGATGGAAAACTTCAGTTTAAACCTTCATTTTGCAGGAAGCTCTCGCATAATTCAAGAGATTATTATGATTTTTTAAGGATTATTATGAATATTCAGTGAACTGATGCCATGCATCTCTTACTTAGCTCTTTACAGGAACTGCTGTTGTGTTATCTGTACAATATCAGCTTCATTTTTCTGCTCCTAACTATCAAAAGAGTTGACAAGAAACTGACTTAATTCTTACTGCAGTTAAAATTTAAGATTTATTATTTAATACATAATAATTATTTTATTCCCCAAATAATTACATATGCATGAGGTAGAAGGTGAGGTCTCTTTCTGTTTGCTCACAACAGTGTGTAGGAGGTGAAAGACAGTGCTGTTGAAAAGATGGATTTGAAGATGGCACATTGAAGATGCGGCTTGGGAAGATCCGCTTGCCTGCTGAATTTTAACTATTTGTGATGTTAAAATTCAGGGCTCCTCTTTTCTTTCCTTCCTTATCAAGGTCCTTTTTTGCCTCATTACCATCCAATTTTGTTCCACTTATTCTCTCTCTTTTTTTGCTGTTTCTGCTGGAAGGAGATAGGGAAGCAAGTATAGGAATTTGCATCTTTCTGTATGCGAGAGTAGTTTATGTATGTTTGTGAGAGAGAATGATTGATGCATGCATTTGGGAAATCAATTTTATAAATGGACTATCTTATTTTACGCAAAAGAAGTCGTAATCAGTAATTAGTAATTTTTTTCCTGGGCTTGCCTTATTTTGATTGTATGGATAGTGTAATGTTTGGGGAGTTTCAGTGCTAGCTTCAGACCGTTAATGTTTTTGAATCTGACTCCTTAGTATTTGATGCAGTAGGAATAGTTTGCCCTGATAAAAGGTAGTTGCTGCATTTTTAAGTAAGATCCATCATTCTTCAGCTAACATAGTAAAAAAAAAACCTTAATGGGTCAAAGTCCTAAAACCATTTAAACAAAGGGCAGGGTATGCTTATGGGAAAAAAAACACCTAACTATATATGTGTGTATATATTATTTCCTAGCGTCAGCACTTTAGCTTTCCAGCCCTCTTCATATATGGACACACATCCAGTGGAAAGACTTACGTGATGCAGACTCTTCTAAAAACCCTGGAGGTAAGAATGATTCACTATATCAGTTTTTGTTTTAAAAAAAGGGTTTTGAAACAATTGTGTTATTTTTTGTTCTTTTAAGTAGTGGGTTCACATTTGATATAGAGAAACACTGTAACATTCACTGTGGGAGACCTATTCAGTGGGATTGTCCTGAAACATTTTGGCAGGCTGTGGCCAATGCATAGAATAATCCAGAAAGTCAAAGTTCTATTTATTTCTGTTTGGGTGTAGGTGAGTAGGCCAGATTGGCAGCAAATTAACATTTTTCTGCAGCACCCTTTAGCCTAGTGCCAGTAATTGTGAATTATGACCCATGTATGCTAAAAATGTATGCTTCTTTGAAATTATAAAGAAAGGAACAGTTGTATTTAGAATAAGGTAAGCCAAATAAATTGTATTTATTTTTTGCATCTTACCAATAGGCTCATAGATGATGTTTCTGATTTTTGTCGCAGCCTAGTCTGAGTTCCCACCTTGGGGTTTCTCATATGCATTGATGCTGTGTCATATTTTCCCTAGCTCTCCCAGACCTTATTTATAATGGTGGTTGAATGTGATCAATTTGTTGTATCTTTACTAGCAATCTTTTCAGCTTGTCTTTTTGGACATAACAGCCTTACATGTTGCAATCAGTTTAAATCATTATGTTGAATGGGTGGTTTTTAAAATACATATAGCAGTCCCAATCAGTAAGTACTTAGCAATGGAATAAATTTTCAATAATCAAATAAATTTGATTGTTGTACACTGCCCAGAGTTGCTTTTTGTGAGATAGGTGGCAATATAAATCTGATAAATAAAATACATTTAAAAGCAGGTTAATGATATGTACTCAAAAGTAAGACTTGTTAATTTTAATGGATTAAAATTTAAGTGTATATACTTGTGGATAAGCTGAGAATTTTAGGCTCCAAAATACACCCAAAAAATTGCAGACCAGAGCTCAAATTTTTTTAAAGCCTGTCATGGCCTTAAAATTGCATGGTTTTATAAATGATGAGGTAACAATTTGCAGTTTCCCACCTATCGCTGTGGTTTAAAATTCAAGTGTTGGCTTATCCGCAGATGAAACATTTCTGTGGTATTTTGGTTGAAATTTCTAGGGTCGGCTTATCTGCAGATGGGCTTATCCGTGATTATATATGATACTCTCAGGATAGCACCGCTTTCCAGGCTTAACTTCTGATCCTGGTTATTTATCTAGTCATTTTTGCAAAGCAGCTGTAATTACTGAGTTACATATCTTTGAGTCTTAGATATTGCTTTGTAAATAAACTTGTAGTCTTTTTACTTTGCAAATGATCCAAGTTATTTAAAGATTAATTGTAGATGAATTGATTTTTAGGTTTCAATAGAGGCAAATATGTGTAGCTCGGGTTTGAACTGTGGAGTCCTTGGGGTTCTCTGAGCTTGGTTCTTGTCTTGCAAATGTTTCATTACCTGACTAGGTAACATCTTCAGTGTTAAAATGGGATGGGGTTTGCTCTCTATTTTTTTTAGGTCCACTATGGAGATCCTTGTAATAACATAGAGATAAACCTATATCCTTTCTCTTTCTTTTCAGCTTCCTCATGTATTTGTCAATTGTGCTGAATGTTTTACTTCAAGATTACTTCTAGAAGAAATATTGAGACAGTTACAGTGCCTTTCCATCAAAGAAGAAGATCCTTCATTTGTATCCTGTGACACATTCAATGATTTCATACGTTTATTTAAAAAGGCAACCTTAACACCTGATCTGCAGAATCAGACGATATATGTTGTAAGTATGTAAGACTGTCTGTGTTGTTGGTATTCAACATGAGTTAAGGACTTTTCTTTATATTTTGTGGGAGTTTTTGTAACTTTGCTATGAGGCAAGAGGGTCAGCTGCATTAATCTAAATAAATAAATAAACAATAAATGGTAGACCAGGAAATGGAGGCATTGTCACCAGGGCATCTATTCCAATAGTGATGAAAAATAGGAGTGCTGGTATTAACAGATCAGGTTATTGCAGAGGAAGAGTATTTAAGAATTTGATAGCTATCTTTTTTTCCAGATGCCCTATTAACAGAAATCCCAGCAAGTAGTTTCAACTCCCCATAGAACTTAGCCTTGCTCCTTTTCAGTGCCAGGTCAGCAAGGAATAACACTGAAAGCATTTGATGAGAGAATTGACCTGGCTTGTGTAACAGATTTCATCAGATGGCTAAATATAGACCTAGCTACTGCCAGTTGCTAATGGAGCAGACTGGAACAATGGATGAGGAGGAGCTGTAGCTGTGATCCCTAAGAATGGCATCACTCTTGCCAGAGCTCTGGTCAGAGACCAGCTATATACAGTAACTAGCTGGATTAGGAAAAATACATTGAAACTATATGCTGATAAGTATTGGAGGGCGCTGTTTTAGGATTATGATAGTGATGCCTCTTCTAGATGGGTTTACATTCTCCTAGAAATGGTAAATGGTTAGTAAGCAGTACAGGAACGATTCAAGATGCTCATGTCTTTATGATCCCTCAGGTGGAATTCCTGGCCCGAAGTACTTTTTATTTGCTTTGGCTTATATGCTACCTGTGTTCTTTTCTTGATAACAAAGACCTAAATATGTGGTAGACTAGACAATCCTGTGACCCATTAGATCATCCTTTGAGAGAAAGGTAGTGCAATCTGATGTGACCAGAGACCATTTTTTTTTTTTACCCCGGTGCTGGATGGTGATCATCTAAGAAGAGTACAATATATATCATAAATAGAAAAATAATTGTAGGGGCAAAAAAACTTCAATAATAAGTCAATATTTACTTACCTAAACAGATTAAAAGACTTCATTATAAACTGCTGAGTAAAACTGAAAAGGAAATATTGCATGGAAAAACTGAGGTGAATTTTATGGATCTTGTAATTCTTCACACACACCCTGCTTTTTTTCCTTTGATTCTAGCTTTTCAGCAAACTAAAAGCAAATTGTCTATTCTGAAGTCTAGCAAAGCAGTATTATATAAAAAAAACTTAGCAACTCTAATGTTGTGTTAGGTACCGACATTTTGAATTAAAAGACTTACATGCAATGTTACATGGCCCATACTCTTGATCTTTATAGTATTTATTTCCAATAAAAATAAGATTAAATTGAACTGTTCAGAAGTCAAACATACACTTGGCAATCCAGTAATTCAGATGGCATTTCCAATTAAATGGATAGGGAAGACCTCAGTGTGAGATTCTATAAAAATATTTTCAGTCAGAGTCAGCAAATCAAGTAGATAGCTAATACCTTAGAGGACAAAATTAAATTAAAAATAGTCTTGATAGATTAGAGAAGTGGGCTGAAAGTAACAGAATAAAAGAAACCACATTTTAACAGAGACAAGTACAGTGTTCTTCACTGAGAAAACAAAAAACAGATCTACAGCTATATGATAAGAGGTACATGGCTTTGTAATAGTACTTGTGAAAAAGAACTTGGAATAGTTGTAATCTAATCTAAATATATGTCAGCAGTTTGATGTAGCTGTAAAAAAAGCAAATGCAACTTTAGGCTCTATCAATGTAACTGTAATTTTCACATCTCCTGAAGGAATTGTTCCACCTTTCTACTTTAGTGAGACCACTCTCTCATACTGGATTTTGGGGTACCACACTTTAAGAAGGATTCAAAGAAATAAGAACATACTCAGAAAAAAGCCAGTGCAGATTACTGGGGATTACAAATTAAGGCCTGTGAAGATAAATTAAACAAGCTAGCTTTGTCTAGCCTTATGAAAAGATGTCTATTTAGGGACTTTTTAAATACATGAAAGGATGTTATTTAGAAGATGGTCAAAACTTGTTCTCTCTCATTCCAGAGTGCAGGATACAGAATAATGGATTTAAATTATAGGAAGGCAGATTCCAGTTGAATATTAGGACAAAACCCTCTCTAACAGTAAGAGCAGTGGAACCAGTTATGTGGAAGGGTGGTGGGTTCCATTCATTGGAGGTGCTCAAGCAGAGACTAGATAGCCATCAGTCTGGGATGCTTTAATTTGAATTCCTGCATGCAGTTGGAGTTTGGAGTCAATATCCTAAATGGCTTTTTCCAGTGATTTTGTGATTTTGTCATGCAACTTAACAGGTTTAGATCTACCTTAAGGAGGCAAATTGTCAATAATTTGGTATATTATGCTTTTCCTTGCCAGCGTTTTCTGCCTTAATAAAACTTGCCTTAATAAAACTCTGGCTGAATTGAAACAGGATTTGGACTTAGATATTCATATTGAAAGAACCAGTGTTTCCCATATTCTTGGATGGTTCCTAGATATTTATTATTTTACATATTCCCCACAGAAAATTCTATCTTGGCACAAACTGGGGTGCTACCCATTAGGACAAAAATTGGAAGATATATTAAACTCCCATATGAAAGCTGCACTTGTTTCTGCTCAGATATGCAAATTAACTTCATGATGTGTGCTATTAAAATGTATTTTACAATATATACCCAGTAGCAATCAGTAATTTTAATTACACCTGCGATTATAAGGTTAATGTTCTCCTTTTATGTGATCAATTGGCAGAAATCATCTGGAACCTATTCCTCATTATTAATTATCTCAGGATTTGATATAATTTTTCTGTTTTTATTTACTGCACTTATTGTATTTTCTTTTTACTTATGACTGGTCTTGGACTGTAATTAAATCAAATAAATAAAATGAGTGTATGGACACTCAGGTTGGGAATTTTGTGACGCACTTCCTTAAATAACAAGCTACTGCCCGTTATGGTTACTTATAGCTATTTAGGGTATAAATAGAAAACTTGGTTTTTCCCTTCCTTCCAGTGAACTTGCTTCAGATACCTGGTTTCTTCCTGCTTGCATGATATTGCTACCCACCAGCTCATCTTTCAGCTGATTGGCAGGCTGCCCAAATGGTATTCTGTTTGTATTTTGGTTTGATATCATTAAGAAGTTACAGGTAGTCCTTGAGTTATGACCACTTGTTCAGTGACAGTTCAAAGTTATGATGACATTGCACTAGTGGTACTTATGACCAGTCCTTGAAGTTCTGGCCATATCAGCACCCCCCCTGCAGTCATGTGATCATGATTTAGGCACTTGGCAACCGGCTCACATGATGGTTGCAGCGTTCTGCAGTCATGGGATCACCATTTGTGACCTTCCCTGCCGGCTTCCCACAAGCAAAGTCAATGGGGAAGCCAGCAGGGAAGGTTGTACATCACTCCTGTAAGTTGTTCCTGCTGCCTTTTCTCCTGAGGAGCCCTAGTACAAGATCTCCTCCAGTGTTGGTTCTCTTTGATTTCTCAGTTGCTTTTGATATCATCAGCTATGGTATTCTTCTGGACTGCTTCTGTAGTATTGGAGTGGGGGGAACTGTTTTGAAGTGATTCTTTTCTCTGAGGGTTAGCTTCAGTCGGGGGGGTAGGGGGGTGGGAGAGGACAGACCTGCCCAGACACTTCTATTTTCTCAAAGCTCTCTATTCTCCACTTCTTTTAAACACTGAAATGAAACTGCTAGGGGAGGCCACTCAGCAGCACAGAGTCCAGAATCATTAGTATGCTGATCATACCCAGCTATACATCTCAGTCCTGGACCAACAGGTGATGTGGTAGAAGTGCTAACCCAGTACCCACAGGCTGCCAGGGTCTGGATGGGGAGAAAGATTCAGACTTAATGCTCCCAGATGGAGTGATTTTGGGGGCCCAGTAACTCCAGGGAAATAACTATCTTTACTCTGAATGGAGTCCCCTGTTCAGAAATGGTTTGCAATTTGAGATTCTTCTTGGACTCACAGTTCCTGCCTGATAAACAGGTAGCAGCTGTGGCCAGGAGGGCTTTAGCAGTTACATCTTGTACTGGAATTGCTGCCATTCCAAGATGGGAGGCCCTGCTCTCAGTCACTCATGCCTTAGTCAATTTCCATTTGGATGTGCTCTACATGGGGTTGCCTTTGGAAAGCATTTGGAAGTATTAGCTGGTACAGAGTGTGCCAACCGTGTCCAGTGATGGATGTATCCTGATATTCTTGGGTGACCCCACTGCTTTGGGAGCTACATTGGTTGCTAGTTGTTTTCTGGGTGTAATTCAAGATGTTGGTTGTCATAATTAAGGCCCTACATGGCTCTAGACCAGATTATCTGAGGGACTTCCTTCTCTTGTATTCGTGTATCCATCCAACCAGTTTGAATAATCAGTTGTTGCCAGATCTAGTCTGTACAAGGTTGTCATCTAGTAGGACCTTGGAAGCGAGCATTTTTGCTGGTCTCATACTTTGGAATTCCCTCCCCTTTCTGTTATTTGCCTCCTGAGTTTTAGGACAGCAGTTAAGACCCGCTTGTTCCATCTGACACAAGAAAAGGCATGAATAACAATTAGAATGTGGTGGGCACGTAACTTTGTATTTTTTCTGTGTGTTACTTTGATGTTGTTGGTTTTGTTCATATTATGGAAGGATTTCTTAATTATTTTTGAGGCAGTTGCTTTTTATTTTATGTTGTTTTTGATTGTTAGCCACTCAGAGCCTAATGGGTAACATACTAAGTAAATAAATAAATAATACATAAATAAATTAATAAAAGACTTCAGATTACTGGAATAGACCCACCAGTTCTTCTATTCAGCAAATCATGATGGAGAAAACTGTGACTTAATGTAATGTGTACACTAACCTGAGAACAGCAGGTTAATTTACAGTAATAACAATCCTATTGCGAGTGTCGGGAACCCAGCAGTAGAACTAGGTACAGTGATACCTCGGGATACGAACGCCTCTGCTTGCGAATTTTTCGGG